GTGGGGACAGCTTCTGCCAGTGTGACTGCTGTCTAGGTGGGGACAGCCTCTGCCAGTGTAACTGCTGTCTGGGTGGGGACAGCTTCTGCCAGTGGATCTGTTGTCTGGGTGGGGACAGCTTTTGCCAGTGGGACTGCTGTCTGGGTGGGGACAGCTTTTGCCAGTGGGACTGCTGTCTAGGTGGGGACAGCTTCTGCCAGTTGTACTGTTGTCTAGGTGGGAACAGCTTCTGCCAGTGGAATTGCTGTCGAGGTGGGGAGACGGATTCCGGGTCTTCCTGCCCCACCATCTTTCTAGAATCCTCTGAAATCAGTTTTTGGTACTGTGAACCTCTACACGTTGGAAAGATACAGAGCAAGCTGCTAACAAAGATGCCAGTCCACTCTGTAGAAAGAATGAAGGCTCACCTAAAGCAATGCTGGGTGCCTGGGATTCTGAGTTAGCACGGCCATCCCCAGCCTGGGGCTGTCACAAAAACGCATGCTCCCAACCTTCCAGCACAGCACAGGTCTTCCGTTTCTGACACTGAGGAGTGGAAGGTGCAGAGCAGGTCTTACAGAATCACAGCCACCCTCAATCCAAAACTAAGAATTACAGCCACACACAGGGCTCTGCTATGACTTCAGCAGTAAAATGCCCATTTGAACCAACATGTGACTCTGCTCTTCTTTCCTACCTGTGGTAAACTTAAGGGTGTAGCAGGAGGGAAAGAACAGAACCATCTGTGATCATCACCACCGTAATTAAATATTAACAGAAAGACATGACATGAATTCTCTGCCTTTCTTTGATGACCTGGCTCCAACACCCCTCCCACAGGGAGGCAACACTGAATGGCAGGCAGTGGAGTGAGGGTTGAGGAAATAAAAGTGATCATGGCAGGAGGCAGACAAACTCCTAGGCAGATAGGAGCAGGTCCCCAGTGAAACCTGACCTTCAAACCAAAGGCAGCATGAAGCCTGAAACCTGGGTGGCCAGTTCTGGGTAGAACCCACAACCTGGGGTGCGAACTTCCTTAATGCCTTTCAGCCAATCAAATGGTGTTTTTCCCAGATCCACCCATGGATCAATCAGCACGCACTTCCTCCAAAAATCCCCGACTTGGCCACGGCCACACAAAGGGAGCTACTACTTTGGGTCTCCTCTGCTGAGAGCTGTTCTGTTGCTCAATAAAACTCTTCTCCACCTTGCTCCCCCCTCCAGTTGTCCATGTAACCTCATTCTTCTTGGACACAGAACAAGAACTCAGGACCCGCCAAACAGTGGGTGCAAAAGGGCTGTAACATGCTCCCGGCCGGGTCGCTGGCTGCAGGCAGTGACACACACCCGTTCGCTGAACTGCGGGAGTGAAGAGGGGCAATCACTCTGGGGATCCAAACCTCGGGATTCCTCAAGCCAGAGCTGTAACACTAGAGCTCTCAGCGGTGTGGTGTCCGAGGCTGCCCCACATGACAGCTAGCGGAGGCGGAGCTAGGCCAGCCCCAGAGTGAGGCGGCAGGGCTGTGCAGCTGAAAACACACTCTCCCACCCATCCCCTCAGGGCTCCACAGTTGCTGAGACTCTGAGTTTTGGTGCACCACCGCGTTCCTCATCCAGACACCAGCACCTGTGGCGTAGACTGCCTGCAGTATGCCTCATCCAGCCAGAGCCCTGCACAGAGCCATGGCCCGGAGCTGCCCGCCCACCACAGCGGCCAGCGCCTGGACGCCCCACCTGCTTGCTCACACGCGCCTGGCTTGCCCATGGCAGGTGTGGGATTCTGGGCCTGTAGTACCAGCCAAGCACAGCCTGCTGGACCGAGTGGGCAGAATGGGCCCAGCAGGTGTGAGTGAACTCAAGCAGAGGTGCCGGTGGCCACAGAGGTTTCCGGCTGGCAAAGCGACACTCAACGGCTCCTGTAACAAGACAGAACCTATGCAGATTCCGGCTCTGTACGGATGCTACTGTAGAAGGTGTTTGTCTCTCTCTGCCATCTGGGTAAGTGGACTCTGCACCCCCGTCCCAGGACATTTGACAGGGGACTCCTCCATCTGCACTCCTGTCTTTTCAGCGATGTTGAAAGATGCACTGACAACCATCACAAGACAAGGCAGCTGTGGGTGCCATGCTCCTCTTAGGAAACAGTTCTGGCACAAAACTGCAGCTTCTATGCCCACCCTGGAAGGTGGGGCAAGCCCTGGGTGACCACACACGGGAGCAGCTGAAGCTGAGGGAGCACCTGTAACCCTGGACGAAGCGGGCAGCTAGCTACTGACAGCTCCTCCATGCCTCCAGGCCGTTTTACACACTGCCCTAGGCTAACACGCTGGCAGAACACCCACTTCCAGGTTACGAATAAGGAAGGGGTGGTAGAGGAAGGGGGCTGTGGAAGGGTGAACTGGGGCCTGCTAAAGACGCTGGGTACTTTGTTTTAGAAAGCTCTTTTAAAAGATGATGATATAACAAAGCTAAAATAGGAAAAGAAAACCTCAACAGTTTAACAACACTTCAGACATTACTTGTAAACCCTAACATACGTGAGCATAACGCCGTACTTTTGCAAAACACCAAGTTTAACTGTTTCAAACAAATAAAATTAACTCAAATAGCAAAAAAGTTGACGGTAAGGGGAACAGATAATGACTGATTTTGTTTTATAACTTCCAATGAAAAGAACCAGAGCTCCCCGGAGAAAGAGCTGGTTCTGGCACTAGGTAGGGACAAGGCAAGGCGGGCCAGACCATAGGTGAGTCAGGAAGGTCCTGATGAAGGGGGGCCACACCCCAGGACTCAGCACCTGCCTGAAGGGGTCACCGATGGACAAACCTGGGACAATTTGAGCAACGAAATAAATAATGGCAGGGATGGATTACAGTCCAGATGCTCAAATAAGGGTCCATGAATCAGTACTTAGATAAATGGACAGGCTGGAGATGGTGGCTCATGCCTGTAATCCTAGCACTTTGGGGGGCCAAAGGAGGAGAACTGCTTGAGTCCAAGAGTTTAAGACCAGCCTGGGAAACAGGTGAGAACCCCACCTCTCTCTTTTTTAAAAAAAATAAATGGACAGATAACTGTGTGGATGGACAGGAAAGTGAAGCAGCTCCTCACAGTAGCAACTGAAATACTCAAGAGAGGAAATGATGGAGTTAGAACACCACCATTTGGCACCCAGCAAGCAGTACTAGTTGAGCATGTGTCACAGCAGACGCTGAGGCCCCTGATGGGGGGCACCCGCAACGCCTGGGGTCCATCCCCGCAAGACAAGCCTGCAATCTAGGAGCAGTAACTTTATGATGGTGGGGTCTGCAGACTCCAGCAGCCGAACAGGACAAAGGCCCACCCAAATTCAATTCCTAAGGTCACTTGCCAGTCAGCTGCTTCGCTCCATGACTGGCACCCAATCCCGGGAAACACTGGGCAAACCCACATCACACACGTTCTATGAAACAGCTGGCCTGTACTCCTCAAAACGCCACGTGAAGAAAGACAAAGAAGGCTGAGAATGTTTCCGATTAAAGGAAACTAACAGGACACAGCAGCTAGGTGGCCGAGGCTCCAGGACCAGACTTGATGTGTCCTTTGCCCTAGAGGACAGGAGGGCACGGGCAATGCTGAGCAGGAATTGAGGTTGGGAGCAGCATGGCGACACACCTCCTCCTGGGATGTCTGTGCTGCAGTTACCCAAGAACCTGCCAGATGTCTGTGCTGTGGTTACCTGCAGAATGTCTTCATTTCTGGGGACACTAGTTATTTTTGGGAAATAACATCAGTTTTAAGGGTAAAGGTGCACAATGTCTACCGCTTATGTTCATATCTTAGGAAAAAGAGTTAGACACGGGGGGGCAGGGGGTGTGGTCGTGCCACATGGTAAAATGAGTCAAGGGCACACATGACTCCTTTGTAAAATTTTCGCATCTTTGTCGGAAGTCTGAAAATACTTTAATAAAAAATATTTTTAAAGTCCAGAAAAAGACAGACACCTGTAGCCAGGTGATCATCCCCAAGTGAAGCTTTTCAGGCTGACCCCCAGCATTCACCAGGGCTGACAGGAAGGCCCTGGCATCTCTCTGGGATGGCGCCAAGCATGCATCCGATTCAGAAGCTGAGGACGGTGAAGCCCAGGGAGCCCAGGGAGCTCCGACATGTTGCTCACGCTGAGATGCCGGTGCCCACCCAGCACCTCCCATAAAAGGTCCTCGGTAAGGAAGCAAACGTCCATCCACTCCCCGAACTGCACATAGAAGCTGCTAGCCCAGGAGAGTGAGGAGCCTGCCCGGAGCGAGTGGCTGGCGGCAGAGCAGCTGGAGCGGGCGGCAGAGCCTCACCCTAGGCCACGGGCTTCCCCGGCACACCTCAGCGCTTCCAACGGCACTTCACCTACACACCAGGAAAGCTTCCCAGTCCACGGTCTCCTCCCCAAACACACCAAGTTAGTAAGATACCAGTAAAGAGAACAATCTTCATCTTGAGAGTGAAAGCAAGCTAGGAAATCAACGGCACATTAGACAAGGCTTTGGCGCAGAGGGCAGGTGCGCCTCCTTAGGCACACTGGTGAGCTCTGCAGAAGGGTCGCTGAGGCCAACAGTCACTCATCAAGAGCCACAGGCACTTACAGCCACACACAACTCTCACCTGGCAAGGAGCAGGGCCGAAACACACATTCAAAGAGCAAAGACAGTTGCTGGGTCTCCCTTTTACCTGTCTGTGACTTTGTGGTGGCCATGTAGCATTGGTTCTGAGGTAGCGACGGATGAAGGGATGGGAAGGGGGGTAAAAGCTGCTGTCGTCCAAAGTCAGAAATGTTTTTGTTGGTCTCCTCTTTTGGTTCCTTATGATCTCTAGCTTCTCGAACTTCTCTGGGGTCTTTACTGGCTGCATGCTTCAAAACAAAGACAGTGAATAACTGTAACTGTGCATAAGCAGATGGTCATTGAAATAACATGCAACCAAAATCACAGTTCTTCTCCCCATTAACTCCCCACAACTGAAAGATGAGACACAATGGAGAGAAGAGAAAGTCTCAGGTGGAAACAGCAGGACAGTCCTCACAGAAGCCCCTGCACTAAGACATGTGTGCCTAGCTGCCCTCGGATGGATTAGGTCAGCACCCACAGGCTAAGAACAGCGTTCACAGGGCTAAACATAAGGAGAGAGGAGGGGCAGTGATCACATGCGGTCCACAAAACCTGAAACATTTTCTAGCTGGTTCTTTGCAGAAAAAATGTTCCAACCCCCGACTTAGGTAATAAACTTACTAAACTAAAAAATACCCAAAATGGGCAGCATCAAAACCTCTCAAAAACTGCTCTCCCAGTTTATCACAGCTACAATTTGCAACAACCCCAAATGGGATGTACTCCACAGTAGGTAACTGTATTATGTGTTAAAATGCTCTGTACTCAGTCTCCCTGATCTCCTAAATCTACCTTTAGTCTCAGCCTGCAGGGCAAGGCTGTGACGTCAAAAGCAAACTCCCAGTACTTCCTCCACTGCAGAATGCACAGACACAACTAAATCTTCACTCTCTGATTCCCTGGCCACCTACAGACCTGTGACAGTTAACTTCAAATCCAATTCAATTTAACCTCATTTTATTGTGCAGGCAGTAGGTGCAATGTAGTAAAAAGTGTTAAAAGACAGGGCATTCTTCTGCAACTGGTACTGGGAGAACTGAATGACCACATGAAAAAGAATGAAGCTGGACTCTTTTCTAAACCATATATAGAAATTAACCCAAGACTGACCACAGACGTAACTGCAAAACCTAAAACCATAAAACCCTTAGGAGAAAACATGGGTGGGAAGCTTGCCAACATTGGATCTGGCAATTATTTCTTAGATATGAAACCAAAAGCACAGGCAACAACAAAAAAAATTAGACAAATTGGACTTAATCAAAATTAAAATTTCGGCCGGGCATGGTGGCTCACGCCTGTAATCCCAGCACTTTGGGAGGCCGAAGCAGGTGGATCACGAGGTCTAGAGATCAAGACCATCCTAGCCTACATGGTGAAACCCTGTCTCTACAAAAAAAAAAATACAAAAATCAGCTGGGTGTGGTGGCGTGCACCTGTAGTTGCAGCTACTTGGGAGGCTGAGGCAGGAGCATTGCTTAAACCTGGGAGGCGGAGGTTGCAGTGAGCTGAGCTCACGCCACTGCACTCAAGCCTGGCTCCTGGTGACAGAGTGAGACTCTGTCTCAAAAAAAAAAAAGAATTAAAATTTCTGGGCCAGCTGTGGTGGCTCACACCTGTAATTCCAGCACTTTGGGAGGCCAAGAGGGGAGGATCACTTGAGGCCAGAAGTTCAAGATGAGTCTGGGTAACATAGCAAGACCCTATCCCTACAAAGAAAAATTTCTAAAAACTAAAATTGTGTGCATCAAAGGACACAGTGAACAGGCTGAAAAGGCATGCTACGGAATCAGAGAGAACGTCTGCAACGCCATGAGGGATTACAATCCAGAACACATGAAAAACTCCTGAAACTCAATAATAAAAAACAAACAACCCAATTTTGAAAAGGGCAAAGGACATTACAGACATTTCTTCAAGGAAGACGTCCAAATGGCTAACGAGCACATGAAGAAAATGCTGAACCTCATTAGGGAAATGCGTATCAAAACCACAGTGAGTTATCATTCACACACACTAGGATGGCCATGAAACAACAGAAAACAGTCAGTGTTGTAAGAATCAGAGAAATGGGAACCCTTAAGTGCTGCTGGTGGGAATGTGAAATGGTGCAGCCGCCGTGAAAAACACGATCTTGATTCCTCAAAACATTAACTACGGAACTACCATGTGATCCGGCAATTCCACTACCACGCATGTGCCCCAAAAGAACTGAAAGCAGGTCTTGAAGAGACATCTGCACACCGACGTTGACATCAGCATCGTTCACAACAGCCAACAGGGGGCAGCCACCCGAGGGCCAGCTGGGGGAGGATGGCAGAGTGTCGTGTGCACACAGCGAGTGGGACTCAGCCCGAGGAGCGAGGCCGGGACCCGTGCTGCAGCGTGGATGAGCCTTGGGGACACGATGCCGAATGAAATCACTCAGCCACAGAGGACAAATGTGGGACAGCTCCACTTATAAGAGGTCCCTAGAGTCGTCAAACTGATGGAGACAGACAGAGTGGAAGGGCTGGAAAGCGGGAATGGGAAGTCAGTGTGCAAAGAGGCAGAGCTTCAGTTCGGGAAGATGGAATGATAGAGACCAGGTGAGGAGGGTGGTGAGGGCTGCTCAGCAATGTGAATGTGCTTAATGCCACTGAGCTATTCACTAAAACACAGTAAGTTTTATGTTATGTTTTACCCGCCCTCCCACTGCACACACGACAAGGCATCCTCATCAACTAGAGTCAAGGCCAGGGAGAAGTGACCGAGGTCACGAATAACTGTAATTCCAAGTGCCCGATGGGCCGGTGACATGGGTGAGCATGTGGCTGCTCAGAGGGATTCAGCAGATGCTTGTGAAGGTTACAGACGAGGCGGGCAGGCAGAGCGGGGAGTGCCAGGCGAGAGCACACGGGGAGAACAGGGTAACACGCGGCTCGGATGGGAGATGAGACGGGCGTGCCAGGGTGAGCTGGAAGGCACAGCAAGTGCACATTCTGGGGGCTGGCTCTCACTGTCTCCCTCCAGCTCTCCTCGCCTCTCTCGGTACCAAAGGCACACTGTCCGTGTCTGCTCCCCTCCCTCCTTCCCTCTGTCTCTCGAGCACATCTTGCTGCCATGTGGTACTTGCAGTGCTTCTCACTGAGCCCACTCTAAGCTGCTAGATACCCCACTGATGTCCAGAACAGACATGGAACCACCTGGGCTCCCTACTGGGGAACCTATCGTGGATTCACATTCTAGTGGCCACAGCTCTCTGGGTTTCTCGTTGCTTCTCCCTGTGGAGACCTGTCCAGCTCAGCAGCACTGTTTGCCACATTTCGTGATTTCTCTCGGAATGTACCTCCACCCCTGGAATGCCCGTACTTTTTCCCCTAAGGATTAACGCTGTCTTCCCACCTCCAAGGCACAGCTCAAACATGACAGCTCCCCCTACCATGTGCACTCACGAATACACCCTCTGCACTCGGAGCACTGCTGGAATGCAACACATCTGCTTTATAGAATTTCTTGGTCTTTCTCCAGTACACCAAGTTAGACTGCAATAAAGTCACTGTTATAACTCAGGAGTCACAGGCTCCTCTATGTCACCTACAAGCCACCACGCAGGCTGTTGGCTATCGCGCTCAGCTGGCGCTTACAAACACAAAACGCACTTTCAAGGTACATATAAATGAAGGGCAGAGACAAACCCTGGAGGGGAAATAACCACGTGAGGCTAATTCTTGCTGAGGTACACAATCTATTCGTTAATCTAAAGGTCATCTGCAAAAATCTAAACAGTAAGATTAAGAATGGCTGAACCTAGGTGAGGATTCTAGATTTTTATTTTGCTGGGACTCTGTTATCTAACAAAGCACAAGGAACAAGAAGACCTCGCCATGGAGGCAGCGTGACTGGCCTCTGTCTTCACGTGGTCTGGCTCTCGGAGCACAGCCCTTCCCTGGGGCTCCTCCCTCCTGTGTGGGCTTGGCACCAGTGTGAATTCTCACAGCTAGACACTTAGTAGCAACTATTCACACAATTACTAAGAACTACCTCCAATGCAGACTGACAGGCACCACCTCTCTCCCAGAACTAGAGGCCAGAGTGGGTACCAGGAGGTGAACTGCGGACACACACATGCAGAGAGAACACCACAGGGTGCTCTGCTGCCTCCTCCTGGAGTGGGCACAACTCAGGGAAATGAAGTTGCCAACCACGGCACAGAAACAGGCATTTTCACGTGCAGAAAACGTTCCCTTCCATGGCTTCCACTTTTTTTGCCCTCCTAACAAAGGTGAGGCTGCCAATGAGCAAGTCTCACTGTGAGGCGAGGCTTCAAGAGTTCTACGAGGGACCAGTGAGTGGGTCTCACTCCGAGCAGAGGCTTTGGGAGAGATCAATGCTGGATACAAGGTCCAAATCGTGGGTGCTGGCCAAGGATAGTGTGACTGCAGCTATAACACCACCTTCACTTTTAAACTTTTACAAGAATATTGGATTTATTAACATAGCCTGCAATGTTCATTTTATCACTGAATGACTGTTTTTAAAACATAATTTCAATAAATTGTGGTTATTAAAAAAATACCAAACAAGACTGAATTGGTTTTGGGGTGGCAGGAAATCCTGAAGGGAGGAAAGTCCATGCCCAGAGCCACAGGCACAGAGCACCCACCCACCCAGCTCTCTGCTGCACCACCTCAGTGGGGTCC